AAAAAAAAAAAAAAAGAGCAGAAACAAACTACATGGAAGATCAGGACCAAGAGAAAACTTGTCCAGAATAAAGCATCTAAAAAATGTACCAAGGATAATGCATGCCCCTTCTTTATTTTTGATAAAATTCAGACTCCTCAGTATGACAAACACACCCTTTATTTTCTGCTTTCTTCTTCAGCTTCAACTCCTACCAAAAATCCAGAAATTAATTCTGAGCACAGTGCCACAGCTCCATGGTTGTAGTCTCACCTTCCATTTGACTACCATATTCTGGATTCCTAATTCTTATTCATCTTTTAAACTCAGCTCAAATTATCTATTCTAGGAAATCCTGCCGGGTTCCCTCATCTGGTTCTTTCTTCTTTACATCACCCTATGATTTTGTTGTTGTTCTTCTAGCACTTATTATAGGATACGTTAATAATCTGATTACTCGTATTAAAAAAAGCATATGGAGAGCTCACCTTTAACATAGCATCAGAGTCCCTTCTTCTCTCCAGCATTTTTACTGGGGCTTCTTTGAATTCCCCAACTCTGATCCTAACTTTATCTAAGAAGTCAGTGTTTTCTTTATTGACTCACTAATCTGAGACTCACTGACATGCTTTTCTCACAGCTACCTTCAGCCTCAATGAACCAATGAACTTTTAGGAGAAAAGTGCTGCAGCTGTCCACTCTCAAGTGGTGCCTACATATTATGCAGAATTATCTGTAAACCAGATCCAAGCTTTTATTTTTTATTCTGGTCCTCCCCTCCAAAAAAACCTGCCAGCTTTTCGAGTCACTCAGTAAATGGGCCATAGTAGCACACTCAAATGAGGAATGCATTGCCTCCAAAATTCAAAGATACCCACCAGGTATTGTGCATAATTTTTGATTGTAGGAGGGGCCAGATGAGACAACTTATCCTTCACCTTAAAAAGAATATCTTGACATGCTACACACCAATAGACCTCTAGAAATTTCACTGGGGTAGAAGATTTATCTTCCACCTTTGACATGCAAATATCTTTCCAATAAGGCTAAAGTAGTTCCTAACTTCTTACTCAGTGGGCCCAATCAGCATAATGTCATCAATATGATAGCTTGTGGCATAGAAAGGTCATCATGAGCTCTGTGAGCAAAATTATGACAAAAAGCTGGAGAGTGATATACCCATGAGGTAGGACACTGAAGGTGCATTGCTGGCTTTGCATTTGGTGGGTTTTATTAACAGGGGTAGAGAATAAAAGCATTTACCAGATCGATAGCTGTATACCAGGCACCAGAGAATGTGTTAATTTGCTTAAGCAATGAAACTACATGTAGAAGAGCAGCTGTAATTGGAATAACCACATAGATAGGCTTACAATAATCCACTGTAATTCTCCAAGATCCATCTGTCTTCTGCACAGGCCAAACAGACGAGTTAAATGATGATGTGGTGGGAGTCACCACCCTTGCATCTTTCAAGTCTTTGATGGTGGCATTAATCTCTGCCATCTCTCCAAGAATGCGGTAGGTTTTGTTTGTTTTCTATTTTCCTAAGTAGAGGCAGTTCTAGTGGTCTTCACATAGACTTTCCCATCATAATAGCCCTCACTCCACAAGTCAGGGAACAAATGTGAGGATTCTGCTAGCTGATGAGTATGTTGATTCCTAGTATGCATTTCAGAACTGGGGAAATAACCACAAGATGGGTTTGGGGACCCACTGGACCAACTGAGAGATGAATCTGAGCTAAAACTCAACCTTCATAAGCTCCTGCTCTGACTGGTGGAGTGACAGCTATTATGGCGGGAAGGACTATTTATCACAGAACCAGGATTCATGGGTCCAGGAATCAAGAGGTGGAAATGGAAGTGACATTACTCACTATTATCCCTAGGGACTCGCTAGCAAACTTGTTGTCTCCTGTCTTCATGATCTTTTGCTCTGCTGACCTAAAGATCTTATTTCCAAAAAAAGGAATGCTACCACCAGGAGACACAACAATGATTCCATTGAATTGGAAGTTAAGACTGCCACCTAGCCACTTTGGGCTCCTCACTCCTCTAATTCAACAGGCAAATAAGAAAATTACAGTGTTGGTTGGAATGATTGATCCTGACTACCAAGGAGAAGTTAGACTGCTTCTCCAAAACAGGTAAGGAAAAGTATATCTGGAATACGGGAGATCCCTTATGATGTCTCTTTGTATAACTATTCCCTGCGATTAAACTCAATGTAAAACTGCAATAACCCAATCAAGGCATGTGTACTAATGA